GTTTTTGCCATACACTGATATGAATCAGCCATGGATTTACATGTGTTCCCCATCCTGAACCCCCCTCCCACCTCCCTCCCCATCCCATCCCTCTGGGTCATCCCAGTGCACCAGCCCTGAGCACTTGTCTCATTCATCAAACCTGGACTGGTGACCTGTTTCACAATTGATAATATACATGTTTCAATGCTATTCTCTCAGATCATCCCACCCTCGCCTTCTCCCACAGAGTCCAAAATTCTGTTCTATACATCTGTGTCTCTTTTTCTGTCTTGCATATAGGGTTATCGTAAAAATATGGAATGCTTCACGAATTTGTGTGCCATCCTTGCACAGGGGCCATGCTAATCTTCTGGGTATCATTCCAATTTTAGTATATGTGATGCTGAAGCCAGCGCTGGAATTAAGATTGCTAGGAGAAATATCAATAACCTCAGATACACAGAAGACACCACAGTGATGACAGAAAGTGAAGAAGAACTAAAGAGCCTTTGATGAAAGTGAAAGAGGAGAGTGAAAAATTTGACTTAAAACTCAACATTCAAAAAACTAAGATCATAGCATCTGGTTCCATCAGTTCAGTTCAGTCGTTCAATTGTGTCCAACTTTTTGTGACCCCATGGACTGCAGCACACCAGGCTCGGCCATGGAATGTTCCAGACAAGAATAGTGGAGTGGGTTGCCATTTTCTTCTCCAGGGGATCTTCCTGACCCAGAAATTGAATCCAGGTCTCCCGCATTGTGGGTGGACTCTTTACCAACTGAGCCTCCAAGGAAGCCAATACAAATACAAGCAAGTCAAAGCATCAGGTTTAACTATGCAGCCTCAGGGTAATTAAATGTAATGATGTGAACAGTTAGAGTTTTGCAATCTAAAATGATTCAGTTGTTAATTAGACTTCTTGTGGTGATCATTTTCCAATATACAGAAATTTCAAATCATCATGGTACATGCTGCTGCTGTTCAGTTGCTGAGTCATGGCCGACTCTTTGTGACTCCGTGGACTGAAGCACACCAGACTCCTCTGTCCTTCACTGTTTCTTGGAATTGGCTCAAGTTCATGTCATTGAGTCAGTGAGGCTGTCTAACCATTTCATCCTCTGCTGCTGCCTTCTCCTTTTACCTTCAGTCTTTCCCAGCATTAGGGACTTTTCCAATGAGTTGGCTCTTTGCATCAGGTGGCCAAAATATTGGAGATTCAATGTCAGCATCAGTCCTTCCAATGAATATTTAGGGTTGATTTCCTTTAGGATGGACTGGTTGGATCTCCTTGCAGTCCAAGGGACTCTCAAGAGTCTTCTCCAACACCACAGTTCAAAAGCATCAATTATTTGGCACTCAGCTTTCTTTATAGTCCAATTCTGTACATGACTACTGGAAAAACCATCACTTCATGGTTCCATCACTTCATGGCAAATAGATGGGAAAACAATAGAAACAGTGAGAGACTTTATTTTGGGGGGCGGGGGGGCTCCAAAATCACTGTAGGTGGTGACCGCAGCCATGAAATTAAAAGACGCTTGCTCCTTGGAAGAAAAGCTATGACCAACCTAGACAGAAAAGCAGACATTACTTTGCCAACAAATGTCTGTCTAGTCAAAACTATGGTTTTTCCAGTAGTCATGTATGGATGTGAGAGTTGGACTATAAAGAAAGCTGAGCGCTGAAGAATTGATGCTTTTGAACTGTGGTGGCGGAGAAGACTCTGAAGAGTCCCTTGGACAGTAAGCAGATCAAACCAGTCAATCCTAAAGGAAATCAGTCCGAATATTCATTGAAAGGACTGCTGCTGAAGCTGAATCTCCAATACTTTGGCCACCTGATGCAAAGAACTGACTCATTGGAAAAGACCCTGATTCTAGGAAAGATTGAGGGCAGGAGGAGAAGGGGGTGACAGAGGATGAGATGGAGATGGTTGGATGGCATTACCAACTCAATGGACATGAGTTTGAGCAAGCTCCACGAGTTGGTGATGGACAGGGAAGCCTGGCATGCTGCAATCCATGGGATCGCAACGAATTGGACATGACTGAGCAACTGAACTGAACTGAACTGAATGCAGGGAATCTGGGTTCGATCCTTGGGTCTAGAAGTTCCCCTGGAGAAGGAAATGGCAACCCACTCCAGTATTCTTGTCTGGAGAATCCCATGGACAGAGGAGTCTGGTGGGCTACAGTCCATGGGTCGAAAAGAGTCGGACATGACTAAGCGACTAGCACACAAATAATAGTGTAGAATTCAGTAAGTCCTCTACATACAAAACTTCAAGTTGGAAGCTTTCAAAAATGCAAACGTGTGTTTACATGTCCAACCACGTAAGTCAGTTCATGTGTTGGGCATCCATTGTCATGCGCATGCATCCTCTGCAAGTTGTGCAGCTTGCCCTTCATCTCCTGTTGCTGATGATCCTTCAGCTCTACCATCTCTCACCTCCTCTACCCCTTCCAGTCAGCAACTCTTCTTGCTTGCTCAGATGATGCCAGCCCCTATATTCCAGCTGTTGAACTGTACTACTGTGCTTTTCAAGGTACTGTACGTTAAGATTAAAAATGTTTGTGTGTGTGTGTGCTTTTTATATATTATTTGTGTGAAAAGTATTATAAACCTATTATAGTACAGTACTATAGAGTTGATTGTATTTGTTGACTATCTAGGCTAACTTTGTTGGACTTATGACCAAATTGGACTTAAGAATGTGCTCTCAGAATGGAACTCGTTCATATGTACGGGACTTTCTGTAATGGTTAAGTGTACACAACAAAGGAAACTATAAGCAAGGTGAAAAGACAGCCTTCAGAATGGGAGAAAATAATAGCAAATGAAGCAACAGACAAAGAATTAATCTCAAAAACATACAAGCAACTCCTGCAGCTCAGTTCCAGAAAAATAAATGACCCAATCAAAAAATAGGCCAAAGATCTAAACAGACATTTCTCCAAAGAAGACATACAGATGACTAACAAACACATGAAAAGATGCTCAACATCACTCACTATTAGAGAAATGCAAATCAAAACCACAATGAGGTACCATTTCACGCCAGTCAGAATGGCTGCTATCCAAAAGTCTACAAGCAATAAATGCTGGAGAGGGTGTGGAGAAAAGGGAACCCTCTTACACTGTTGGTAGGAATGGAAACTAGTACAGCCACTATGGAGAACAGTGTGGAGATTCCTTAAAAAATTGGAAATAGAACTGCCATATGACCCAGCAATCCCACTCCTGGGCGTACACACCGAGGAAACCAGATCTGAAAGAGACACGTGTACCCCAGTGTTCATCACAGCACTATTTATAAGAGCCAGGACATGGAAGCAACCTAGATGCCCATCAGCAGACAAATGGATAAGAAAAATGTGGTATATATACACAGTGGAATATTACTCAGCCATTAAAAAGAATACATTTGAATCAGTTCTAATGAGGTGGATGAAACTGGAGCCAATTATACAGAGTGAAGTAAACCAGAAAGAAAAACACCAATACAGTATACTAACACATATATATGGAATTTAGAAAGATGGTAATGATAACCCTATATGCAAGACAGAAAAAGACACACAGATGTAAGAACAGAATTTTAGACTCTGTGGGAGAAGGCGAGGAGGGGATAATCTGAGACAATAGCATTGAAACGTGTATATTATCAATTGTGAAACAGGTTTGATGCATGAGACAAGTGCTCAGGGCTGTTGCACTAGGATGACCCAGAGGGATGGGATGGGGAGGGAGGTGGGAGGGGGGTTCAGGATGGGGAACACATGTAAATCCATGGCTGATTCATATCAGTGTATGGCAAAAACCACTACAATATTGTAAAGTAATTAGCATCCAACTAATATAAACAAATGAAAAAAAAATTTTTTTTAAGGAAAAAAAAAATGATTAAGTGTACAGCTCTGGGTTAAATTCCCAGCTCTGTCACTTACTGGCTGTGGGTCCTTGGGGACGTTAACTGCTAATTACCCTATTTGCAAAATGGAATATAATAATAACAACCACTTCGTAGAGTTGCTCTGTGCAATATATGAGAACTGTGCTGGAACACAGTGAGTACTTAAAAATATTAGCTGTTATTATTCCATATTCTTCCTATAACAAAAAAAATGTTACAATAAACACTTTGGAAGTTATTTATTTGCATTCTCATGCAAGTCTACATCTGGAATTCTTGGGTCAATGAATATATTCCTTTATAATTTGATGGATATTGCCAAATGCTTTCTAAAATCACTGTACTAATTTACCATCCCACAACCTGTTTTTCCAAACTCTAGCCAAGTCTAAGAGATATGGCCAAACCTCTAAATTCTGGCAATCTGACATATGAAAAGTGCTGTCTCCTGCCTTTTAAATTATGGGACAGAATCTGAGCAACCTCTTGTGTTTATTGATTGTGTGTACATTTTTTCTTATGACTTCCTGTTGGTATCACTCATTTGTGTTAACTTTTTTCCTCACTGATTTTATTCATTCATCCAATTAATTGTACTAAGTACTCATTAGGGATACAACAGTGAACAAGATAAGACCTCATCCTTATGAAGCTTATAATCTGGTCAGGGAGACAGAAAATTAGCAAAGAAAGAATAATTACAATTCCTGTGAGAAGAAAATAAAGAGGTTGTTAAAATCATGAGTAAGCAGCAGTAGGGAGAATCTTCCTTAGAAAAAGTGGTAGTCATGGAAAGATTATTTAAAGAAATGAACTTTAAGTTAGGAACAGATGGTTGAGAAGGAGTGAATCATGGAAGGAGCAGTGGATCACGTTTCAAGCAGAAGGAACAGCCATATGCAAAAGCTCTAATTCAAGAATGAGCTTAGCATGTTTCAGGAACAGGCAGGCAATTGTGGCTGGAGTGTCCTTGGTGAGGGGAAGAGAGCCAGCAGATGAGATTGGAGAGGTGGGCTGGTGTCACAGGAATGTGAATTTTACTTCCAGTGCTTTGGGAAACTGACACTAGGAAACTGACATGTTCTTAAATTCTCAAAGACCATTCTAGCTGCTCTGTGATTGGATAGGAGGGAGGCAAATGTGGATAAAGGCAGGAAGGCTAGTGAGGAGACTAACACAGGAATCTGAGTAAGTGACAATAGTTTGGATAGAGTGGAGACACTGGAGAATGGGGCTTCCTAGTTGACACCAGAGGTAAAGAATCCACATGCCAATGTAGGTAGACGTAAGAGACACAGGTTTGATGTCTGAGTCAGGAAGATCCCCTTGAGGAGGGCACAGCAAACCACTCCAGTATTCTTGCCTGGGCTTCTCAGGTGGTACTAGTGGTAAAGAGCCTACTTGCCAATGCAGGAGACAAAGAGACGCTGGTTTGATCCCTGGTTTGGGAAGATCCCTGGATGAGGAATTGGCAACCCACTCCAGTATTCTTGCCTGAAGAATCCCATAGACAGAGAAGCCTAGAAGACTGCAGTCCATAGGGTCGCACTGAGTCAGAGACAATTGAATCGACTTAGCAAGCACACATGCCTTGGAGAACGAGGAAAAGGAGTACATTGATGATATTTTGGGAGGTATAACTGGCAGGACTGGGTAATGAATCAACCATGGTGGCTCGTGATGAGTGAAGTTGCAGAAATAACTCCCTGGTCTCTAGGTCTTCCCACTGAGTCAACAGAGGACCTATAATAATAAGGAAGACCACAGAAGGGGAGGTTTGAGAGTTGAACAGGGTGATGGCAAGTTCAGCTTTAGACATGCTAATCTGGATATGACGGTAAGACATCCCAATGGAAGTGGCCACAAAGCATTAGATATGTGAGTTAGAAGCTCAAAAGAGTGATTTGGACTAACCATATAAATTTAATGGGAAATGTTCTTCATGTTTTCACCATGAAAGTGAGAAACAAAATTAGTCACAGTGGTGTCCGACTCTTTGTGACCCCACGGACTGTAGTTCACCAGGCTCGGCCATGGAATTCTCCAGATAAGAATACTGGAGTGGGTTGCCGTTTTCTTCTCCAGGGGATCTTCCTGACCCAGGTCTTCTGCATTGTGGGCGGACTCTTTACCAACTGAGCCTCCAAGGAAGCCAATACAAGCAAGTCAAAGCATTAGGTTTCACCATGAAGCCTGAAGGTAATTAAATGTAATGATGTGAACAGTTAGAGTTTTGCAATCTAAAATGATTCAGCTGTTAATTAGACTTCTTGTGGTGATCATTTTCCAATATACAGAAATTTCAAATCATCATGGTACATGCTGCTGCTGTTCAGTTGCTGAGTCATGGCCGACTCTTTGTGACTCCGTGGACTGAAGCACACCAGACTCCTCTGTCCTTCACTGTTTCTTGGAATTGGCTCAAGTTCATGTCATTGAGTCAGTGAGGCTGTCTAACCATTTCATCCTCTGCTGCTGCCTTCTCCTTTTACCTTCAGTCTTTCCCAGCATTAGGGGCTTTTCCAATGAGTTGGCTCTTTGCATCAGGTGGCCAAAATATTGGAGATTCAATGTCAGCATCAGTCCTTCCAATGAATATTTAGGGTTGATTTCCTTTAGGATGGACTGGTTGGATCTCCTTGCAGTCCAAGGGACTCTCAAGAGTCTTCTCCAACACCACAGTTCAAAAGCATCAATTATTTGGCACTCAGCTTTCTTCATAGTCCAATTCTGTACATGACTACTGGAAAAACCATAGCTTTGGCTCTATGCACCTTGGTCGGCAAAGTGATGTCTCTGCTTTTTAATACACTGTTTAGATTTGTCATAGTTTTTCTTCCAAGGAGCAAGCAACTTAATTTTATGGCTAAAGTTATCATCCACAGTGACTTTGGAGCCCAAGAAAATTAAAAAATGTGTCCATTTTTTCCCCTTCAATTTGCCACGAAGTAATGGGACTGGAGGCCATGATCTTCAGTTTTTGAATGTTGAGTTTTAAGCCACCTTTTTTACTCATTATGTTTTAATGCCTGAAATTAATATATGTCAATTATACATCAATTATTTTTTAAACCTTTTATTTTGTATTGGGGTATAGCTGATTAACAATGTTGACACAGTTTCAGATGAACAGTGAAGGGACTCAGTCATACATATACATTATACTTCAATTATTTTTTTAAAAAGAGCAATGGGTTAGAAATTTTAAAAAATAATGATTTAGCAGAGAAAGTATCTTGCACTTACATCAAGCCTTTCTCTCAAAAATGCAATGCAGGGGGACTTCCCTAGCAGTCCAGTGGGGGACTTCGCCTTCCAATGCAGGGCTTCCTAGGTGGTTCAGACAGTAAATAATCTACCTGCAATGCAAGAGATCTACGTTCAATCCCTGGATCAGGAAGATCCCCTGAAGAAGGGGATGGCAACCCACTCCAGTGTTCTTGCCATGGAAGAATTCCATGGACAGAGGAGCCTGGCGGGCTACAGCCCATGGGGTCACGAAGAGTCAGACATGACAGAAACTAACACTTTCACTTTAAAATAGTCCACATCAAAAAAAAAAAATGCAATGCAAGGACTTTCCTGGCAGTCTAGTGGTTAAGACTCCATAAGATTTCATGCTTCCACTGCAGCGGGGGTGGGTTCAATCCCAGGTCAAGAGACTAAGATCCCACATGCCATGTAGTGTGGGGGTGGGGTGGGGGGACAAACAAACAAAAAACCCATTGCACATTATCAAATCAGAATGGCTAATAAGAATGAGGAAGCATTAAGCAGGAAGGAGGCAGGGAAAGGACTAGCTCCTTCATTGTAGAAGAGTGTACTGCAATCTGGAGCCTTTCACTGGGGAGCCTTCCCCACCAGGGAAGAACAGAAACCCAGCAAGGGCTCAGGTGCCTGTGGCACAGACAGTCCAACTCTGACAGTGGGAGTTCGCGGCAAAGTCAGGATTTATTGCAGAGCACCAAACAAGGGAATAGGAGACAAACCTCAGATCTACTCTAACTTGGTCTTTGAGTGAGGGTTTTTTAAAAAGGAGAAGAATAGGACTTCCCTGGTGGTCCAGTGGTTAAGAATCTGTCTGCCAATACTGGGGACACATGTTTGATCCCATGTCCAGGAAGATTCCACATGCCATGGGGCAATGAAGCCTGTGTGCCATGACTAATGAACCCGTGCTCTAGAGCCCCTGATCCGAAACATAAAAATCGACCACAGTGGGAGGCCCGGGTACCACAACTAGACAGTAGCCCCAGCTTGCCCCCACTAGAGAAAGCCCAAAGTACCCAAGACCCTGTGTGCCAAAACACAGACCTAGCGTAGCCAAAAATAAATTTTAAAAAAGCAGGGAGGGGGGGACTTCCCTGGTGGTCCAGTGGCTGAGACTCTGTTCTCCCAATGCAGGGGGCCTGGAATTCAGTCCCTGGTCAGGGAACTAAGTCCTGCATGTCTCCACTAAGAGTTCCATCCTGCAACTAAAAAATCCCATATGCTACACCTAAGACCCAGGGCAGCCAAAGTAAATAAACACATAGTTTTCAAATGGTGGGGAGAACAAAGAGGTGGAAATTAATCATCTTGTGAAATTTCTATGACAGTTCTTAGACATAGTTTCAGGAGTCAGCGTGTCTTTGATTTACAGTTCTCTTGCTAAGTGGTACATTATTCAAGGATCTGTTAGCTGATCTTGCCCTGAAGAAACCACAGAGTTTGCATGTTTAATGATAATATCTAGATTTGAAATTTTAGTGGGTAATTAATGTTATCGACTATGGTAATTTCAGTCATCTGACTCTGGCTGGTGAATGCTCAGGTAGCATAGGATTGAGGTCAGAGGGAACAAGAAAGGGATGAAGTGTTAGATAGAGAGATTAATTATAAACGGTATGGGACTTCAGGGAATTTGGTTTTAGGGGGACTCGGTTTCAGAATCACTTGGCCACACTTTTTACAAAAACTCTAATCTCCCCAGTCTTTAAAAAAGACAGTTCAGATGTCATGGTACCTGGGGAAGGGGTTTCTCTTTTCCAAGGTCCCCTATTCAGTCTTTCTGGGTTGAGACTTAGTTTTGGTCCAGTAAATAAGTGACGTGCTCAGCGCACTGCCTGGTATAGTGGAAATGCTCAAAGACTACTTTCTATTATTAAAATTAGAAGAAAGAACCCTGGTGCCTGAGAGTCAGAGGTTCTGGGTTCATTTCCTGGCTACAAATAACAAAAAAATAAAGAAAGAAAGAAATTCCAATTAGTATAAGGAAACAAATAAATTTACTGGATCACTTAGCCAAACAGCCAAAAAAAAAAAAACTAGGTAAGACAGGTCAGAAATTATAGTCTCCATTTTGTCATGAGGAAATTGAGAAACTGCCATCAGGCGGTAAGTGATGGAGCAGGAATACTAATGTGACCTGTGATTGCTTTTGATCTGAGACTTCCCAGAGAACTAAATAGCTTCAGAAGCCAGGGCCTCTGGAAGCAGCAATTCAACACTTGATATTTGTCTCTGCTTTTCTTACCCTGTTGGCCTGATTCTCTCTTACTGCAGGAAAGTCATCTCAATGTGATAGAAAAAAATGGCGGCACCTAACCAACCCCAGCAGAATATTTCCCCATCCCCTGCTTACCATATATGCCCTGCGGGACTGGCTCTAACGAGCTTGAGGTCACTTTCTGACCCCTTGGTCCAATTACTGTTGTCAGGAATAAGATTTTCTGCTTCACTAGGATTAGGTCACAAATATAGCGGTGGATCTGGGCTTTGCGGAGGAGTATCTGTGGGAAGTCACAGATCAAAAGCCATCACAGGTCACAGTATTCCTGCTCCATCACTTACTGCCTGATGGTAGTTTCTCAGTTTCCTCATGACAAAATGAAGACAAAAATATCTGATCTTATTTAATTTGGGGGGGGGAGGGAGGCAGGTGTCGCCACACAGCACAGCATGCAGGATCTTAGTTCCCCGACCAGGGACCGAACCTGTGTCCCCTGCAGTGGAAGCACAGAGTCCTAACCACTGGACCACTCAGGAATTTAAATTTTTGTTTTGTTTTGTTTAAATAATGAGTCTCAGAGGACACAGGTTTTATGAAAAAAAAAAAGTGAAAAGCCCTCAGTCGTGTCCAACTCTTTGTGACCTCATGAACTATACAGTCCATGGAATTCTCCAGGCCAGAATACTGAAGTGGGTAGTCTTTCCCTTCTCCAGGGGATCTTCCTGACCCCGGGATCGAACCCAGGTCTCCCACTTTGTAGGCAGATCCTTTACCAGCTGAGCCACACAAGGGAAGCCCTGTATGAAAAGGACTGTATTATCTTGGCTTCCCTGGTGGCTGAGACGGTAAAGAATCTACCTGCAAAATAGGAGACCTTAACACTATCGCTCTGGCCAAACTGCTGGAACCAAGTACACTAGATAACAATTCGCTGATTTGCAGTAAAAGTTCATAATTATCTTAAAAATTCAGTAATTTTCAATAATAAAAATGGCAGAAACTTAATAGGAGTGTCAAATTTGCCTTCAATGACAGGCAACTGCTGCGTAATCTATCCAAGAAAGGAATGGTTATCAAAAGCCTTGTCTGTAAGTGAATACCGACCAGAGATATGGAATTTTAAGTAACACTTTCATCAAAAAACATATGGATTACTAGTACTGGAAGGAATCTGGCCTCTTAAATTTAGATATGGAACCTGTAACCAGAGAGGCTGACGTGACTTCTAACATGACATTACACGGCAACGAGTGGAGTGGCGGCCTAGGTCCCAGGTGAATCCTGGCTCTTTCTATCCTATCACACTGCCTCCCTTCCTTGCTACATCTTGTTGGAACTTGATGGAGCCCTTTTTAAGCCTGAAATGCATTTAGAATAGAATGTGTTTGCAAGTTGATATTATAATTATTTGGATAGAATGTGGGGGACTGGTGAGATCCCAAGTGGTTGTGCTTCATTCCTGAATGTTTAGAGCTCACAGTGCTGGGGGGGAGACACTTGGCCAGGTAGATCTGCATTCCTGTCTTGTTCTGGTGTTGGCAGCTGCAGTGAAACTAAATCACCCAAAGTATGTGCTCAATAAACAAATTTTGCAGAGAAGTGATGTGGCAACACTTAACAGGAGTCTAAAAATGTTTTTATCATTTAGTGCACTAATTACACATGTAGAACTTATCCTAAGGAAATGCTCATAAATGCAGTGGGATTGCTGGGTCACATGGTAGTTCTATTTTTCGTTTCTTAAGGAAACTCCATACTGTTCTCCACAGTGACTGTATCAATTTACATTCCCACCGATAGTGCAAGAGGGTTCCTTTTTCTCCACACCCTCTCCAGCATTTACTGTTTGTAGACTTTGTGATGATAACCATTTAACCCATGTATGGTGATATCTCATGGTAGTTTTGATTTGCCTTTCTCTGTTAATTAGTAATATTGAGCATCTTCTTACATATTTGTTAGTCATCTGTATGTCTTCTTTGGAGAAATGTCTATTGAGGTCTTCCACCCAGTTTTTGATTGGATTGTTTTTTCTGACATTAAATTGCATTGAGCTGTTTGTATATTTTGGAGATTAATCCTTTGTCACTTCATTTGCATAACCCCCATTCTGAGGGTTATCTTACTTATGGTTTCCTTTGTTGTGCAAAAGCTTTTCAGTTTAATTAGGTCCCTTTTTTTTTTTTTTTTTTTTAATTCTCATTACTGCAGTGTGTGGCTCCTGCTCTTTGGATCTCAGTCTTATCTGTTAAATAGCAGGTTTACTATACTGGTCTGTAAGGGGTAAGAAGACAACTGCATTAAAGAAATCCCATGAGTTCATCCTCCACAAGCCCCTTGCCCCCCACTTCCTGTATTACACAGCTAAGTTGTTGGGCATGTTCTTTTTTTAAATGGAAAATTGGCTGTGCTAAGGGGGAGCTTCATGGGCCATCATTCCTGAGCAAGGTACAGTGGCCTGGCATCTTACCTGGAAGCCAGGACATCTGAGCTTCCCCTCAGAAGTCCTTTCTCCATTCTGAACCTCCATTTTTATCTCAAGAAATGAGGGATTTGGGTTGAATGGATGAAGGTTCTTTCCTACCAGAAATCTAGCTGTATTTCTCCTAGTCTCCTGACTCCTACAGGCAAATACCCTACTTCAAGTGCATGGAATACAGTCTCCTTTCTCTGGGCTGCAGAATCGAATCCCACTAGTATAATCAGAGGAGAGACAGCAGAGCCCAGGGGTTCAGAGTACAGGGGGGTTCTCAGCTCAGTCCTTCCACTTAACTGTGTGACAAAATACTTAACCTCCCAGGGGCTCCATTTGCTCCATCTGTAGGTGAGGTTCCTATCTCAGAGTGTTGTTAAAGAGAATTAAATGAATGTAATGTTCACAACGTACTAACAGTGCCTGGCACATAGTACGTGCTTTGTAAAGTGCTTTCTGAATAAATAAAATTTAACACATAAACTGAGCTTCTTCATAACTCTAACATCTTCTGACTGCACCCCCGCCCCGACCCGGAAACCTGTGTTCTTTTTCACCTCTTCGGAAAGCTCAGAGCTCCAAGCCCCTAAGCTGCCTAAAGGTCTCCTGCAGCTCCCAGGTGCCTCCAGGATGGAGGAGCGATGCCTCAAAAGGAAGGTCCAGGCTGTCCACTCAGGGCCTCCCAGAGACTCCGAGATGCTGGGCCACTTCCTTTTATTTAAGGATGGCAGTTAATTGGGAGAATTATAAAAAAAAAAAAAGAACAAGCAAAAAGGGCAAACAGGGTTACAACATTTGTAGGGCATTTTTAATGTTATACTGAGCACAGTAAAGCATTAACCATTCCCACCCACCCACCTCCCGAGCCAACACCCCATAATTATGCCTTTACAAGATAACTGCCAAGGGTTCTGACTCTTTCGTTCCAGCCACTCAACCGGTGGAGCTAAGAGGGGAGAAGGCGGGAGAATTCATCAGGTCAGGTCACGGTCTGGAACAAGCGAGGATGCCCCCACTCCAAAGACGAGGCCCCTGGGACAGCCCCCTCCACACCCCCTCGCCAAACCCCCCAGCCTTCAACCCTGTAGGCGTGGCAGGCCTCCTTGGCAGCAAGGCCCGCCCTTCGTCCACCCATTCGCCCGCTCGGCCTCTGCCCACTGCCCTCCACCACGGCCGAGCCCACCCTACCCTAGAAGCCCAGGGCACCCGCGCACTAGGCGCCCTCCTCCCCGAGCCGGGCCCCGCACCCAGGAGTCTTCACAGGAACCGTTATCCAGGCCGCGGCGCCCCCTGTGAGCTCGAGCCTAAAAGGCTCGAGTCGAAAAGTGGGATCCGGCGGCGACCCGGGCAAGGAGCCCGCAAGGGGGCGCGCGATCCGCCCCCCCGCCAGCCTGCCACGACCCTCCCCAAGCGCCCGCCCGAGCGGGGCCGGCGGGGAGGCGGGGACTCGCTCCCGCGCCACGCAGCTCGACAAATAGGAGCTCGAGCAGCAGGGCTCGGGACGCGCACCAGCGGACCCGCTACCCGAGCCTGCGAGGCCGGCGCGCGCTACCCCGCGGGGCCTGTGCGTGCTCCTGACCGCAGCCACCCAGCCGGCGCGCGTTGTCGCCCGGCCCCGATGGCTCCCGAGACCCCGGCCCAGGGGCAGACCCCCGCCCAGGGGCAGACCCAGCGCTACTTCACCTGGGACGAAGTGGCCCAGCGCTCTGGGCGTGAAAAAGAGCGGTGGCTCGTTGTTGACCGAAAGGTGTACAACATCAGCGAATTCGTCCGTCGGCATCCCGGGGGCTCCCGGGTCATCAGCCACTACGCGGGGCAGGATGCCACGGTGAGAGCTGCCAGACGGGGGCACCGGAGGAGGCGGGACCGGACGGCTAGAGCTGGAGGCTCAGCGCGCGAGACAGGAAGTTTGGCAGTCGTGGCTGAACACCCTCTAGTTCTGGGGAAAGCCGGGAGGCGCAGGAGCGTACCTGTTGCTGGGTGACTGGGTGTGCTGCCAGATCGGGCAAGGGCAGGAGAGGCGGTGAAGAAGTGGAGTCTGGGGAGTAGGGACGGAGGCCGGCAATGTGCACGCACAGACAAAGGGCCGCGCCACTGCTCTGGGGGCTCTGTTTGCGGCCGGGAATCTGCGGTCTCAAAGTGTGGGCAGGCCGGGGAGCAGGGCTAGGAGGGGGAGGAAGCTCCCGGGTGCGGGGCTCCCCGACGGCGGACCCGCCGAGACCGAGGGAGGAGGGGTCAGTGGCGGGGAGAGGGATTCTTGACCTGTCTGGGTGGCTGGGAGGGAAGCGCAGCGGCGTCTGGACTAAGCGTGCCTGGCTAGGCTGGCGAGTGCAGGCAGGATGGAGAACTGAGTTGGGGGAGAGCCACCCAGCGCCCACTGTCTTGGGAACCCCTGCACAGGGTGAAGACATCAACAGGGATGGGGCAGCACTGGCCAGAGACGCCTAGCGCCTGCTTGTGCCCAGGGGCCATCGTGCGGAAAGTGGGGAGCCTGCACCAGCATACACTTAGCTAGGACCCACCCGAGAGCAGTCCTGGAATCCTGTGGGGGAGGTCACTCAGCCTCAGTCCAGCAGGGTCTCCAGCTATTCGCCTTAGCGGACAGCTGTTTGCACTCCTGGGCTCTAAGCCTGGTGCTGGTGGCATCCCTACCTCGGGCCAGCGCGCTCCCCAGCCCCGATTCTGCTGCTTCCCTCTCTAGACAACCTGCTAGCACCTCCCTTCTGAGTTCCAGAGCTGGGGGTTGGGGCGGGGGGGTGTGGGGTGGGGTACTCCTTGGGACCCAGAGGTTGGAGCTTTCGCTTCGCTGTGTCCTCTCACCCTATATCCTTCGCCTGGCGCCGCGACCCCTTCTACTGTTCCCAGCTTTCTCTGCTATCTCAGAGCGCCCCTCGGGCCACTAGGGTTCTTGTGATGTCGCGGTGGAGCCCAACCGTGTGAGGACCAGCCCCTCCCTCGGACGCGGCAAGCCTGGGAGGCTGTGCTCGTCTCCGGAGAGACCACTGGGGCGCGCAGGCTGTGGCCGAAGGCGAAGAAGGTGTGGATTGGCGCATGTGTAGACTGAGCAGGCCCGAACCCTGGGGCTTCTTGCAGTGTGATTTGGCTGCCGGGGCCGGCCGCAGCGGGGAGCGCGATTGGTCCGGACGTGTGGTGCCACTGGCCGCCGGCTCCGCCCCGGATCCCTCCTCGCTAGTGGCTTTGCCTTAGGGCCTGGGGGCTGCCTGACCTTCAGGACGTTAATCTCATCAATTTAGTCACTGAGGACCCCACCTTGGAGAACCAGAATTGGTGCGCCAGGGCATGGGGTGTTCGGAGTGGGAGGAGAAATATGGAAGGCCCACCGGAACAGCTATGGAGCAAAGGGGGAGAACTGCACACGTCCCCTAGTGGACACAAGGAGTCTCCTTCCTCAGGTTTCATGAGACACTCAGAGGAAAGGCCAGCACAGGCGCGGCTTTCTGTGGTCCCCCTGCCCGTGCTTCCTGTTCATTGGTGTGGTACCCTTCTTACTAGAACACAGATGCTGTGGGTGATCTTGAGTGGTGGACACCAGGGACTAGTCTGAGCAGCTTCAAAGGGAGGCTGCTTGGAGGGCGGTGGTCTCTATTTGAACTTGGGTGCAATGTCCTTGCAGGATCAGGAGGATGGCCTTTGGTGTGAGCCCTCCACAAGTCCAGGGGGCAGGGCTGACTTCCTCACTGTTTTGTCTTCCCATCCTTGCAGGATCCCTTTGTGGCGTTCCACATCAACAAGGGCCTTGTGGGGAAGTATATGAACTCCCTCCTGATTGGAGAGCTGTCTCCGGAGCAGCCCAGCTTTGAGCCCACTAAGAATGTGAGACCCTGTGGTGATGGAGGGGCAGGGGGTAGAAGGCAGGCTTCCATATGCTCACAGGTGACCACAGTCAGTAGTTCTTGCAAATCTTGAGACCCTTGCTTCCCCCGCATAGTTGTTGGGTTTCAGGGCCTCTGGAAGCTGTGGTTCTCACAAGGCCACCACCACTACCATCACCATCCTCAACCCGAGACCATTTGACTGAGCACTTAATTCTGTGCCAAGCATAACATCATATAATCCACAGTTCCAGATGAGAAAACTGAGGGTCAGAGAGGTTAAACAACATGACCAAGGATCACGCTGTCAGTAAGTGGCAGAGCAGGGGCAGAATGATTCTGTTTAACTCCAAAGACCACATGGTCTTAGACCTGATCTCACAGCACCTCTTGTTATCCTTGGCATTGGTACCTTTACCTATGACTGTGGGCTTCCTAGGTTATCACAGTGGGAGTGCCTTGAGCTTAAGAGGGATCTTGGCTGCAGTGCTGGGTTGCACTGGGGAGAATAACAGCCTTTCCACCTCCACTCTAATACAGAAAGAGCTGACTCATGAGTTCCGGGAGCTGCGGGCCACGGTGGAGCGCATGGGGCTCATGAAGTCCAACCCTGTCTTCTTCCTGCTGTGCCTGCTGCACATCCTGCTGCTGGACCTCGCCGCCTGGCTCACTCTCTGGCTCTTGGGGACGTCCTTCGTGCCCTTCCTCCTGTGTTCCGTGCTGCTCAGTATAGTTCAGGTGAGAGCCCTGGGCTTGTTGGGAGCACAGCCTCACCCAGCACCCGTAGGGTAAGTTCTTTGTACCCCTTAGGGGGCCACTGAGGACACAGCGGGAGAGCTGGTGCAGAAAGAGAACACACGTCCCGTTGTCTGTGGCTTCTCTCTGCTCATCTTCACCACACAGGCACCTTCTGTTTTTCCCGCTACCTCTCTAGCTGCTCCTCCCAGGGTTCCCTTCTTGTGGCGTGTCTCCTCAGAAACTTCATGTTCAGATTCTGTCATGGTCCAGGCATGCCAAGAACCAAGATTCTGGTTTCTTGGTAAAGCTTGGCTTCCCCCACCCCCCGCCACAACACTGCCCCAACACCTGGCTGTCAGAACCCACTTGTTCATTAAGCCTCCTGCTTGCCTGAGTTTGTCACTCCATCCCGGTCTGTACTTCTGGATGTTTAGTCCATCGGAAGTCACAGAGGCCCAGAGCTGGAGACTCCGAAGAACAGAGAAGGGATAGTGACTGGCCCCAGCTCTCATGTGAGTCGGTGGCAGAGGCAGGACCCAGACTTCCTGACTCCTTTCCGGATGTACTCAGTTTGGCCAGCACAGGCCAGGTGGATGAGGGAAGGAGGAGAGGCCAAGTCAGTTCTGATGGACGCTGAGCTGCTCTCAGCACTAACCTTTCTCGCTCAGGTCCAGGCTGGCTGGCTGCAGCATGACTTTGGACACCTGTCCGTCTTCGGCACCTCTAAGTGGAACCACCTGATACATCATTTTGTGATCGGTCACCTGAAGGTCAGTGGGATGGGGAGGAACTCTCTGAAACTCGAGTCGATGACGGGCTGCCCGGGGGAGAGGGGACACGAGGCTTTCATATTCACACCCCACTTTTTTGTAGGGGGCCCCTGCCAGCTGGTGGAACCACCTGCACTTCCAGCACCATGCCAAGCCCAACTGCTTCCGCAAAGACCCTGACATCAACATGCACCCCTTCTTCTTTGCCCTGGGGAAGGTCCTCTCTGTGGAGGTGAGCAGAGGTTATCAGTGATGGTCTTGGAGCACAGAAACCAGCCAGCACAGTGGGCTTGCGGGCAAGTGCTCACAATGCTGGTCTGTGTGGGTAAGACACTGTGGGCTAGACTGGCCAGGCGACTGTTTGGAAGTCGTGGGAGGCCATAGGGATTAAACAGGCTGCCAGGACAGCCTAAGTCCTTCGTTGTGAATTCAAGTCAGCAATAGCTATTGCAGAAAGGTACCACATGCTGCTAAGGACTCAAAGGATGACCAGATTGCTGTGCAGACGCCACTCAGCCTTGAAGGAAGGCGATGGATGGTGCTTTTTAGACACCCCCACCCCAGGCTGTCAGCCCCCTGCACTTTGTAATCATCACACTCGCATCCTACTGTGTCATCGTCTCCCCCACAACAGCTAGACTGGATTACTCCTCTGTTGCCCATTGCCTGGAATATTCATCCACTGAGTAATTCTTCCCGCCCACCTGATTCTAGTCTGACTTTCAGGGTGGTCAGCACTGGGTTTGAGCTGCCATCTGAGGCTGTGAGCAACAATTACACTGCAGCCTCTACTGGATGAATTCCTGAGAGTGGGTGGGAGACCTTGTGAGCCTGCAGTGAGTGATAGGCGACCGAAGGCTGTGAGTGGCCAGTGGAGTTCTTTGAAAAGTTGATTTAAAACCCTTTGTCCCAAGCCTCTGGGCAGTAGTCTGAGTTTTGCCAGGTCCCCCTCCCCCACTCCATGACACGCTATGACATTTCAGCACACCCAGAATTAAACGTTGTTAAAAACATTTCAGTTCCAGGCCTGGCTGAATTTAAGACAGCCTGGCCCTCCTTCCCCTCTGGCCATGAGAAGAACTCTGTGGGAAGGTTCTGGCAGCGCTGGCCGTCCTAGCACCAGGAACCCCTAGCTTGGGGCTAGTATTTCCTGGGACCACAAGGTTCTAATTGTCCCACTTCCTGGAAAGAGACTTACTTGGTTTGCTATATGCCCAATACTGTGCCAGTGACACACCCAGCCCTGGCCTGCCCTGGCTCGCGTGGCTCCTTAGAGAGCAGTGTGGGTTGTTTACTGGGCAGAGCATGAGGCTCCTGGTAGCACTTCTGTTGTCACTATACAGATTTCTTTTTTTAAAAGGACATAAAGATTTTTTTTTAAAAAAGGACGAGAGTCTTAAGTGGAAGGGAACCTTCTCACACCATTGCCTCTGGTGCTTCTTTTTTTCCCCTCTGTTGTTTCTTGGTACTCGGGTTTTTAGGAAATTCCTTTCTGTAGACACTAAAAATAGAGAATGCTCTGGGACCAAAATAACTCTCTAGAGTTTTGGGGTTTTTTTTTTGTTTTGGGGTTTTTTTGTTTGTTTGTTTAGTTACAAGGCTGAGGATAGGCTGTCTGTTAGGAAATGCGTGGGTTACAGACTGCTTGGCTCTTGGTTCAGCCTCAGAGGGTCCAGACTGAGGACTGATCCCTGGGCTGACCCAGGAGCATCTGTCCCAGTGCCTCCCAGCTCCCCTGGAGAACAAGGGAAGTGTAGGGAACTCTTCATGCTAAAGATAACTTTACTGGCCTTCAAGAGCTGAAACACAGTGGGGCAGTTATCAGCACTGTAATGGCCATCAGTCTTGATTGCCATTCAAGGAGGCAGCCGGCACACAGAGCTCCCTTCCGTAACAGTCCCCAAACAAAAAGGCCAGAGTTCTACCCACCTACTCCACCAAACATGGCAGATGCTTCTCTTCTGGCTTCTCCCTCTTGGTTAATGTTGCTTGGGATGGGATGCTGCCTTCAAAACATATTCCCAGTCCATAGACTTCTCCATCTCCCCTGCCTCCCATCTCTAGGTCTGGTCCATCTCAGATCTGGAACACTGGTCCAATCGCCTTGCTGGTCTCCCTTCAACTCTACCTGCCCCCTGCGGTTCATTCTCCCCACCACTAGCCAGAGTGAGCCTTTAAAGCGCAAAGCAGATCCTGCCACCTGCTGAAGGCCAACCAGGGCTTCCCATCACTTTTGGAATAAAATCCAAACTCCTTTCTGTAGCCTTCCCAGGGCCAGCATGATTTGCCCATCCCTAGTTTTCTGGCTTTATTGACTATTCTCCCTTTTATATTCCCAGCCGCACTGGCCTTCCTCTGTCCCTTAAACATCCCAAACCTTTGTTTCCTCTGCTTTAAATGCTTTTCCTCCCAGTGTCAGCACTGCTGGCTCCTTCTCATTCAGGTCTCCATTCTGATTTCAGGGCCCCAAGGAGGCCGTATCTGACTATCCTACCCAAGACACTGCCTTCCTCCCTTTCAGTCATATTTTACTGTTTTTAATCTGTAATTATCTTCAACTCTGTCTATAAGGTCATTACCAGCTTCCTCTCCTAAGATTATAAGCTCCACGAGGGTAGGAATTTTGTGTTGCTCATCACTGTATCCTCACACCTAGAACAGTGCCAGGCACATAGACACTTAATAAATACTTGTTGAATGAATCAGTTAACGTAGGAAGAATGCTGCATTTACCAAAAGTGCCTGGCACAGTCTCAGTAAATGTTCTGTCAAAACAGCAAATGGACTTATGAAGGAAGGATGAGCTCTGGGGTATCCTGCTCTGGGGTAGAGTTCCTCTTGTACCCTGTGGTCGTCTGGTCACCAGAACCAAGGAAGGCACGTGGGGCAGAAGGAGCTGTTGAAGGAGAGTGCAGAGTTGCACTGTCACAGTTTTGAGCGCTCTCGTTAGGGGACCCTGGCTGAACTGGCAGCAGCTCGCCTTACCACCTGCTAGCTTGCCAGGACCTTCAGATTGCCAAGCTCTTCTTGGTATTCTTTCTACAAATATTTGGCATACATTGCTTAGCTTTCAAGGGGTTTTATAAAGCTCATGTTGACATCTGAAGAAACTGAGCAATTTTGGAGAAGGTCAGGGGCTTGGATATAGAGAGACTGCTGGCCCGTATAGAGGTGAAGATGGTTGTCTATGGAGATGCTGGTGTCAAAAGAGTACCAGATGGAGACAGGAAGGGGAAGTGAGGGGCCCTGGAAACCTGACAAGGGTGTGTCTGGATGAACATGGGGAGCTCTGAGGACCCCCAGGCTCTGCTGTGCTCATGCCTTGTGCGGGTGTGAGCCATTGAGCCGTGTCCATGGTGTGGTGAGCTTAGCAAGCCCAGCAGCTTGGGCTTCATGCGCCAGGAGCTGGAGGTCAGGCTGGACCTATGGGAGCCTTCTATGGCGCCAGCAAGCTGATGGCCCCTGCAGTAGGCTTCTGCTCCTGCTGGGGAAGAGCCAGAGTCACAGGGGGTAGGGGATGGGTGACCAGCCTGTGGGTGCTGACTTGTGTTTGCTTTTCCTTCCCAGCTGGGGAAACAGAAGAAAAAGTACATGCCCTACAACCACCAGCACAAATACTTTTTCCTGAGTGAGTATCCTCCTCCAGCACCAGGGTGGCTGCTGCCTTGGCAGGGGCGGCCAACTGTGGTGTAAGTAGGGAGTAAGCCTCCTGGGATGACAGTGTTTGAAGTAAAGGCTGGAGAAAGTTCTCCTCATGGACCAGGTTACTCCCTGCAAGGGAGCAGTCTACCTTCTAAGGGGCAAAGTCAACAGTTAGGCTAATGTTTGGTCAAAGGTCACTGGTGTTGGGATCAAACTAGTTCCTCCAGGCCCACCCTGGCTTCCACAAGGGAACTGAGTGCTGGGGAGCAATCCTGATTAAACCTGTGAAACTTCACTTTGATTTGTCAAGCACTCACCAGGGTCAAGGTGGAGCACAGCCCATCTCCCTGGGGTACAAAAGGTAGCTAGGCTAGCAGTGGGAGGATTGGACCGCAAGAGGGAGCGGAAGAGACAACGTTTCTATGGTTGTCTTAAGCTCTTTCTTCCTTTTTTAAAAATAATCATTTATTTGGCTGTGTTGGGTCTTAGCTGCTGCATGAGGGAACTTCACTTTGAATCACAGACCCTGGAGAGCACCGGCCTCAGTGGTTGAGGAGTGAGGGCTTAGTTATGCCATGGCATGTGGGATCTTAGTTCCCTGACCAGGGGGCAAACCCAAGACCCCTGCATTACAAGGTGGATTCCTAACCACTGGACCACCAGGGAAGTTGTTAAGCTCTTTCTGAAGACTGCTGCTGCTTTAAAGATCTGCTCCATAATGCCTGTGGTGATGGTTTAGTTGCTAAGTCATGTACGACTCTTGAGACCCCATGGACAGTAGCCTGCCAGGCTTCTCTGTCCATGGGATTCTCCAGGCAAGAATACTGGAGTGGGTTGCCATTTCCTTCTCCAGGGGATCTTCCCAACCCAGGAATCGAACCCAGGTCTCCTGCTTTGCAGGCAGATTCTTTACCAACTGAACTCCGAGGGAAGCCTTTCCATAATGCCTAAGGAATTTTAAACGGCCGTTTACCTGTTCCCCCAAGGCGGGGATGATTCCATTGATCTCATTTTAGTTCAAGGAATTTATCTTAACTCCATCCCTATGGAGAAACGGGGATGGGATAGAAGAGGGGGACAGAAACACTGGAAGAAGGCTAGACTCCATGGCACAGCAGGCTAGAAGAGCCATGGGTGAGCGTCGTGATGCTGGGTTATAGGTAACGTCAGGGCCCTGCAGAGAAGGGACACAGAAGGAAACCGACTAGCACAGTGGACGGGAGCCCCTTCTTCAACTCCCAGTACTAAGAGATGCTCTTGCGCCCCTTTCGATAGTCAACCTCCAGGCTGCTTCAGGTTGGGTGGCACCAGCTCATTTCCCTAGTGCAGGGAAGTGAGCTTTCAGCCTGTGGCGGATCAGCAGGGTCCCCCCACTCAACACACACACTTTCCAGCTCCTGTCCTTTCACCCGCGTGGTGGAGCAGCCAGGAGCAGGGGGCTGATGGCTGCAAGGACGGGCATAGGGCCAGGAGAGGGCCCCCAGCAGAGGCAGGGCTGAAGACACAGCAGCTCAGCTCGGGGAGGATGAGCAGCACCTTCTTCAAGGCACAGGTGCAGGGCAGCTTCCACGCCAAGTGAAGCTTGTTTCCCCAGCTGTCCTCTTCCACGGAAGAGAATGTCACGCCCTACTGCTCACCCTCTCAGCATCCATGGGAGATTCTCCTTTCTTCAGGCTGGCATTCATGCCCACTTTCAGTGCCTGGTCGGCCCCGATGGATTGAGGGGGGCGGCTGGAGGGGCGACAGGAGGTGGCAGAGGGGCAGCCCTGTGCTGGAGGCCATCTGTCCCTTAACAGCTGGCCCTTGGTGACCCTTCTGCAGTTCACACTCCCGCCCATGTCTCCATTTCCTCCCCAGTTGGGCCCCCAGCCTTGCTGCCTGTCTACTTCCAGTGGTATATTTTCTACTTTGTTATCAAGAGGAAGAAGTGGGTGGTAAGTATCCATGGCCCCCAGATCCCACATCCTGTCTCCAGTACCCTAAGGGCTGGGAATGGGGTTCCCCAGGGAAAATGCCACTGGGGTTTACTCCAGGCCTAATTTAGAGCAAAATAGCAGAACCAGGTAGAGACCTACCATATCTCTAGATGAGATGATTTGGGCTCAGCAGGCAACCTGACTTCTGATGCCCTATTTCATTCAGCGAGTATCTCCTGAGGTCACTGTGCTCGGCATAAAGCAGGGGCCAGGCTGGGTAGGGGGAAGAGGAACAAGAGACGGCCCCTACCCTCAGGAAATGTCTGATGAAGCAGGATGTGATTACAACCAGAGAAGAGGTATAGGTTGAAGGTTCTGGGATTCCAAAAGGGAGCTGACTGCACCTGGCTGGATGGGAGGCATCAGAAAGGACTTCATGACATCACTTTTCTAGCTGGCCCTGGACAGGTAGAGGTGGGGAAGTGGGAATAGACTCTGAGCAGAGAAGCTGGGAATGAATGGGCGAATTTGGGTGTCAGAGGTGGGGAGTGATGTGGGAAATTGATTGACAGTTTGATCAGGGTGCTGGCCCGGACTGAGCTGCAGTCCTAGAAGATTCATTTGGCAGCCAGAGGAAGGACAGAGATGGGCTGGGGGGGATTGGAGACAGGGAGACCTGGCCCCTGTGAAGGAAACCAGCAAGGAGGGCTGGGGGCGCCCCTCAGAAAGGAGCAGTGGTGCCAGATGGCACTGGAGGGGGCAGCTGAGAGAGTCCGCCGTGACGCTCGTCTCAGGGCCGGGGAGAGTCTCTGCTCCGTGCAGAGAAACAAGCGCTGCAAGAGGAGAGGTGCGTTGTGGCGTCACAGTGCTCTCTTGCCTCTCGCTGCAGGACTTAGCCTGGATGATCACCTTCTACGTCCGCATCTTCTTCACTTACGTGCCGCTGTTGGGACTGAAAGGCTTCCTGGGGCTTTTCTTCATGGTCAGGTAGTACTTGATGGGGGATCAGGGGCTGGTGCAGAGAAGCAGACATTTGGGAATAACCAGTCTAGTCTGGGAGTGTTGGCTGGGGAAGGTGCTGGGCTACAGCAGTTATTTGAGGGAGAATGAGAACTCTGGGCTCTGCTTATACTGATTTTGTCTGGGTGCCTCATCCACCAGGTTCCTGGAAAGCAATTGGTTTGTGTGGGTGACACAGATGAACCACATCCCCATGCACATCGACCATGACCGCAACATGGACTGGGTCTCCACCCAGGTAAGGGACAGTCACTTGAAAGGCCTGGGCATAACACAATCAAAAGGGTGGGTGGGCACAGACCCAGGGAAGGGGGTGGGTGGTGGTAACAACAGAAGTTCCCAAACCTTGCCTCGTTAGCTGGACACTTCTCTCCTGCCACCACGTGGAGAAGGGAGTGATCGAAGCAGGCCAGCTTTGCCTGAAGGAGGCTGGGCTGGCCCTTCCATCTGGTACCCAGAGCCATGCTCCCTCTGACCTTCTCCTGCAGCTCCAGGCAACATGCAACGTCCACAAGTCAGCCTTCAATGACTGGTTCAGTGGCCACCTCAACTTCCAGATTGAGCACCAGTGAGTAGGGAGGCCGGGGAGGCAGGGACCTGGGGAGGGTTCACGTAGGGGAGGAAGAGGGGCGTGGTGCGGGGACAGAGGAGCGGGAGCCACTGACTGTCCCCTGTTGTCCCTGAAGTCTTTTCCCCACGATGCCTCGACACAATTACTACAAAGTGGCTCCCCTGGTGCAGTCCCTGTGTGCCAAGCATGGCATAAAGTACCAGTCCAAGCCCCTGCTCTCAGCCTTCGCTGACATTGTCCAGTGAGTATCTGAGCTTGGGAAGAGGGCAAGGTGGCGGGGTCGGTGATAGAGTGCGGGGTGGGAGCACAGCAGTGCTTCCCGGGTCTTCTGGAATGGAGGGTCACCAAGCAAAGGGGCCTTGCATCACCTCTGGAAGGGCCTTGCTGCTGCACTTCTGGTGGGTGGTCTGGCTTTGGGCTCTGCTCCAGCCCATTTCCCTTACCACCTGCCCTCATCTTGCCCCCACAGCTCACTGAAGGAGTCCGGGCAGCTTTGGCTAGATGCCTATCTCCACCAATAACAGTCGCCTCCCTCTGCAAGAAGGGTTATGGCGCCAAAGCAGACGGAGGCTTGGGGGCAATGCCACTACAATCCTAATATTCAGAGGGGGTGGGTTTGAGGAGACAACAGGTTTGCACCCAAACCCCTCCCCTCTATTTTCCAGGCATAGATCTAAGACCCAAAGGGGTGGAGGGAAACACACAAGCCCCCTGAAAGGAGGGGTGGAGCTTCTGGGACAGGGCTGTGAGTTTTGTTTCTTTTTTTTTGTTTGGCAGGTGCAGGTGGCTGGTGAGCTAAGAGGGAGGTGGGAGGGTGTGAGAATAGGGAAGGTCTACTGAGCCCAGAAATCAGGAAGAGATTTAGCACTGAAATTTCACCCAGGAAAGGGAGGTGCTCAGCCCCCTGGTCCACTTCTCGGTGCCTTCTCTACCCTGGCTTGCAAACCTCAAGAGGTTCACAGGCTGGGGGGAGACAGAGCAGGTGAACCGCCTGGGCAAGATTGAGAATTCTGAGGCCTGGCAGCTCAGCATACTCTAGGGCTAGGCATGACCCATGTCTGCTTCAGACTCCTCAGGAAGCAATTTCTCCACTTGGAGAAGCAGGGTGGTGGGGGGAAGCAGAGGCCACGGCTGTGCTATTGGAGGCATCCAGCCCTGAAGGATGCTAACACTACTGGACTTGGCCTTGTGTTCCATCTCGGGTGCCCAGGGAACATAAGGCTGCCAATGGGGTCGCTGGGCATTAAAAATCCTTTCAGCTTTTGACTGACCTCTTAACTCTCACCCAAGGGACAGAACACTCCCAGGATGTACTTGCTCCATAAGCAAGTTGCACAGGTGCAGCACCCAGTCTTCTCCATAGAAACAAACTGGGGCGCCCAGTGGTTTCCCTCTACTCCCCTACTTGTAATCCCAAATTTAGTAAAAATAGCAGTCAAGTGAGCACAAGTGACCAGGCCGGGGGAGAGACTGGAATCACCAGGCATGATGAAAACACAAGAGTTCAGTCAAAGAACATAAGGGCTGTAAGAGATTTTCTGTAACAAATTATGTTACAGCATCACTTTTGAGCAGGGGCATTGGGTAAATATAATGACTTCATAGTTCTTATCAGAAATAGGAAGGTAAAAAACAGAAGTCTGACCATCATGGCTGTCCTTTAGAATCCTTACTCTGGCAACTGTATTCAAGTGTCCTTCTCTGCTGGAGACCAGGTAGGAATTTAGGAGAATCTCTTAAAAGTGTATCAGTCTAACACTGAAATACAATTTTTTAATCTTTTTTTTTTTAAGAGTGAAAACAGTTTAACCCATCTCTAGAGAGGGAACCCCAGGACTGTGCCCCATGGGTTATCAGCATTCACATCCCCACCCCCATAGCCTTTCAGTTCAGGTGAGATCAATTCACCTGTTCAACAGCATCTTCTCTAAGCATATTGAGTATTCCGGACACTGCAAAGAGAGAACCTTAAACTAGAAGAAAAAAGCAGAGGCCTGGGAGCATTCAGGTTTAGTTTAGGAAGAGAATGGCAAAGAGATGAGAGTGATAATCAGGGCGATGAAGGGCCTAGGGCATGTTGGGGTGGGGTCAGAGGCACCACCCAACAGGGTTTGCTGTTACTTAGACTTTTACAAACACACACACACACACACACACACACACACACAGGAAATCAGGTTACAGATTTTAGATCTTTTCCACTGGGGCAGAAAAATTGATAAGCAGAATTGGAGAGTCTACTTCCACTGGCTCCTTCACTCTAGAATAGGTGCTAAACCCAGCCTATCAAGCCATCTGGCTTTGGGCCCAGGCTGCCCAATCTGAGCAAAGCTAATGGGTCTTACTGAGCCAAGTCCAGGTCCTCAAAGCACCTCAACCACTGTGGCCTTCTCTCCTTAGTTTGGCCCAGTGTGGTCTCACATGGCCACAAAGGGACAGACGAGTAACAGAAAGCTCAGAGCTGCAAGATAACGTGAGTGATCTCATAATGACCAGATCCACACCGTACAGGAGAAAGCAGGATTAGAGAGGATAAGTTGCCTCTCTGGTCATAGATGTGGCAGAACTAACATTTGAACTCACTTTTTAAAAACTCCAACTTCTAGGCTGTCTGTTATTTTCATCTTCCTACCACTCTGCTACAGGCCTTTTAAGTAGACCCTGTGTCAGTATCCTTTTCATGTGTACCAATTTTGATACCACATGCTGATGAAGTCAAACTGAGAAATAAAAGTTAATTTGGACCAAACAAAGGCTCTTCACTTATAATGCATGATGCTTTCCTGTACCTGTTGATAGGGCTGCCTCTACCTCTGCTTCAAATTACTATCTACCTCGACGGCTCTAACTTTCTAGAACATGAGCCCCCTTGGGGTAGAGGGCGGATCATCAGGTCCCTCTGAAAAACACCAAGATTCGGATAACTGGCAGGAAGAAAGGCCAACCCCTTCCCATGACCCTCAGAGTTTAAATGCTAGACTCACTAAGTGGTTTCAGCGCTCAGTGTAGACAGCCTGCGTACCTAAGTGGTTTCAGCGCTCAGCGTAGACGGCCTGTGTACCTAAGTGGTTTCAGTGCTCAGTGTAGACGGCCTGTGTACACTAAGTGGTTCCAGCGATTGGTATAGATGGCCTGTGTACCTAAGTGGTTTCATCGCCTAGTGTGGATGGCCTGTGTACACTTAAGTGGTTTCAGCACTCGGTGTAGACGGCCTGCGTACCTAAGTGGTTTCAGCACTCAGTGTAGACGGCCTGTGTACCTAAGTGGTTTCAGCGCTCAGTGTAGACGGCCTGTGTACACTAAGTGGTTTCAGCGCTCAGTGTAGACGGCCTGCATACACTAAGTGGTTTCAGTGCTCAGTGTAGACAGCCTGTGTACACTAAGTGGTTTCAGTGCTCAGTGCGTCATCTCCTATCATGAGGCAATGCCCTCACCCTTTTAAACTCATATCTAATCTCGGTGCGGGTGGTCTCCATGAGACTGCTTTTTGCCAACTCTTATAGTTCAGAGTTGGACTGCAAGGCAGTGCCCCTTTAACCAGGGCCCTACTAGAACAGCTCTTCTCTCCAAGCAAGAATATTAGAATGTGCTAAATAAAATGTGGACTAATTCTCCCTGCAGTGGTTAATAAACTTCTAGAAAAGACTAGGTAATTCCAAAGACAAAGCACTCTACCTGCCACTTCAGCAGACAGGCCCTTAACTAGGGCTACTGTGTCAACGCAGTAACTCCTAAGTCTTCCCCCTTCTGGGCCCCCATCACCATTGGTGAAGGCTGACTCCACACTTCCACTGCAGGGTTCAATCCCAGGTCAGGGAACTAACATCCCGCATGCTGTACAGAAGAGCCAAAAAGAAAAACGGAACTCAAGTTTTGTGGCTTGGTTCAATCCGGAAAATTGGTTTGTCAACTGCTAGAAACAGAGACTAAAATCCCTGCCCTAAGGACAGAACTTTCTGTCTACACCAGTGGTTTGGAGGCCCCTGGTTATGGGATGTTGCTGGGGAGACTGTATCTCATTCCTGCTTCAACCAGAGGAGCTCGTAAGTCTTACATTTCACGTAAGATTTCACTTGAGAGATAGTTTACTCTTAAAAAATATCTGAACACCACTGGTCTTTAAAAGAATATACACCAACATATCACTGATTCACTTTGCTGTATACAAGAGACTAGAGACTAACACAACACTGTAAAGCAGCTATATGCCAATAGAAATTTTTGAAAAGTGCATATAAAAACACAAAGGACCCCAAAGGGCTAAAATGATCTTGACAGTAAGAATGGAGGCTTCACTTATTGATTTCAAATATATTACACAGGCACAAAAAGCAAAACAGTAGGGTATTGGCATAGAACCAGGCAGATAGACCTATTGGCCAGAATACAGCCCTCAGATAAACTCACACATACTGACACAATCATCTTCCCCAAGGTTCTAAAACTCCACAATGGGAAAGAAGTCTCTTCAACAGTCATACAGAATGGGAAGAAAATTTTAAAACCATATGACTGAAAAAGGACTAAGAAATAACTATAAATCAAGTTCCAAAAGAGGGCTAATAACCCAGTTTAATAATGGACCAAATAACTGGACAGACATCTCCCCAAAATTAAGTAAAAATGGTGAAGCAATAAATGAAAATGTTCTCAACCTCACTGATCATGGGAGAAGTGCAAATCAAAATCACAATAGATATCACATCAAACCTATCCAGATATTTTTGATTCATTTTTTACTTAAGTATAGTTTAATTACAATGTTGTGTTAATTACTGTTTTTAAAAAATTTTATTGAAGTATAACAATGTTGTTTTACTGAGGGTATGTTTTATTGATAAAAGTTATGTTGGTGAAAAAAAAACCACCACAACATTCCAACTCTATGAAAAAGAGTAACCTGAAATTTACGTCACAGAGGAAAAAAGAAAGTGATTTTTGAATGACAGCTTTCATGATTAATAAACTGGTAAATGCCTGGATGCCTTGATGTATGTAGTTGATCTAAATTATGAGGATTTCTCAAAGGAGCTCCTTTATCTCACACAGTAGGTGCAAAACTAGAAATTCATTCAATTTATTAAAACACCTTTCCCAGCGAGGTAAACCAGGATTCATGGCTGAAGGACCTCCAATGCTGCCTTGGCCATCCTGTGGAGAATGGTGCCATCTTCTGGCCATTCTCAAATCACCTGTTAATAATGTGCAATTCTAACATGTTACCTTAGGTGAGAAGAACATTTTACATTGCCTGAAGCCTGGGGCACTTGAGATGTCTTCAAATGTTCTCAAAGAACAGGACATTCTGGTTACTTTTTATAGTTTTATTGAATCTTTTCTTCTCATACCTTAAAAAAACAGCACATGAAAACAGCATCTTATCCCAAAGTTTCAACTCAAATGCTTCAGGAAGGCCGTGAGAACCACTCCACCACCTTATGCCTATGAATTACCACTGTATGGAATTTCATAGCAAGTTCAAATTTCTACCCACCCCAGGATTCAAAGCCGGTAATCAAACCCTTGTTGCCAACTCCAGGGACTCCAGCTCTCTGCCTATCTTACTTCTCAGCAGCTCTTCCCATCTGTTTAAGACACTGCATCTCCCTGATGGCTACTCTTTAGGGCGGGTCAAGGCTGAGCCAGAGAGAGCAGCAGTCTGGTTCCACGGTCACCTCCCACCAGCCACCAGCTGGCAAGGCAGGAAATCATCCCAGTCTTTCATCTCCACCGTTTATCTCCCTCTCTTCTTCAAAACTTGTTGCTTTCATGTAACAATGGATTCAGTGTCCATTAAATTGCCTGAGAGGCGGCTTGAGCCTGACATACTTTCCTGAGCTAAAAAAGAAGACAATGACGTACCTCTGTGGCCTTCCTGCCATGAAATCAAGTAACAAAGGGAAAAGCACTACTGAGCAGGGTGGTGCCAGGGAAGCAATGAAAGCCCCTCCCCACCCCTATGGAGGTTTCTCCAGCGCCAGCTCTTACAGGTAGAGGCAAATATCCTGGGATCACAGAGGTATCGTGAAGGGAAACCCGTTTATTTTCCTCTTTTGAACTTCCCTGCTGCCCCAGTCTTTGCCTTCTTCTTGGCGGCTCCCTTGGGCTCTGGCTCCTTGCGCTTGGCGGAAGAGAGAGAGCCGGTCACCTTAAAGAAATCATCCAGGCGGCCCTGGGTGCTGCCCTGGCGGCTCTTGCTCAGCCGCCTGACCCCACTGCGGATTCGCTCCTCGGAGAACTGCTTCTCCCCACACATGAACTTGACGAGCTCTTCTTCATTGGGCTCGCTCCACTTGAGCTCCACAGACTCTGGGTCCAGCACCTCGGGCTCCAGGAAGAGCTGCTGGGCCTCCTTGTGGAGCCAGTTTTCCGGCACGGGGTACTTGTTGGGGTCCAGCCGCCGTACGATCTCCTCGATGCTCTTGTGCTTCTGGATGAGGTCCACGGCCCGCTTGGGCCCGATGCCCCGGATGCTCTCACAGTAGTCACTGCCCAGCAGGATGCACAGATCCACGAACTGCTCCTGGTTGAGGCCCAGCTCCTGCAGGATCCGGCTCAGGTGGAACTCCTGGATGGGCAGCTTCTTGGCCTCACTGGCAGTCAGGTGCCGCATGAGCACGGGGCTGCCGAACGTCAGGCAATCCATGTCCTCTGTGGCCGCAGCGTAGACTTTGCCGGCCTTCACCAGGGCCGCACAGCTAGCCTCCGCCTCGCTGGGCGCATCGAGGTACGGGATGCCCATGAGGCTCAGGAGATGCTTGCATTCGTCATTGTGTTGCTTGGTGACCTTCACCAGACGCTTCGTAAACTTTTCCACCTCTGCCTCGGCCCCAGCGGCCTGAGCCTGCTGCAGCTGCTTCTCCGCCTCGGCCCGCCGCTCGCTGCGCTTGGCCAGCTCCCCAGACTTGAGCTGCGGCGGCTTGCCATCGAAGACGTACACGGGCTTGATGCCATTCTCCATCATGCGGATGGTGCGGTAGAACATGCCCATCAGGTGGCTGGTGGTCTCCCCCTCCTCGTTCTGCAGCACGTCCCCCCCTTGGCGAACAGCTATCAGGAACTGATAAATGCTCATGGAGGCATCGATGGCCACCTTGCGGCCAAAGTAGCTCTTGATGTCATTCTCCCGGATGGCACTGGGGGCCACGTCAGCGATCAGTTTCGCCAGTCCTTGAATTCCCATAGCAATACAGGAGGGACAGCTAAAAAGAAAGGTGGGTAAGACAAGGAGGAACTTAAAGGATGCAGGAGGATTACCAGGGGTACAATGTCATCAATGTCATGCCTGCGGCTAAACAAATTTAGCACAACAAAAGGACACCAAGTCATCAAGAAATGTACAGCAAGAAAGTCTACTCAATTAATACTAGTTCACTCAGTTAATACTAAGGATTCCTGAGTATCAGGCACTAAGCTACATGCTGAGAGGATAAGATATTCAAGTCCTTAAGGGACTTAAAAGTTTTGTGGCTAAGGCAGCAACAGGGCTAACTTGCAAAAAGGGCTACAGCAAGGCCAGAGGAGACAGCCTGGGCCAGCTTGAGGAGTCCAGGGACCATGATGGCAGAACTGCCCCCTGAACGACACGCAAATCCCAGTTACACAAAGGTGAGACAAGACGGATAAAAAGGCAACCAAATGTCTAAGGTGGTAAACAAACTTAGGAGTATCTGTCTTCTTGCCAATTCATGAACAACACATTCGTTCCTTCTTTGGATCTTTATTCCCAACTCACTCCTCCAGCTTACCTCCTTTCAGCAGCTCTGAGGGGTTAGTTCTGTGTCAGTCTGTCAAGGCCATAATATCCAGTTATTTAATCAAACATTAATGCAGGTGTTGCTGTGAAGGTATTTTGTGGGTGTGGTTAACATCTATATCAGCTGATTTTAAGAATAGGAGACTTCATTCCACAATGTGGCAAAGTGAAAGTGTTAGTCACTCGGTCGTGCCTGTGTCTCTTTGCAACACCATGGACTGTACCCCACCAGGCTCCTGTGTCCATGGAATTCTCCAGGCAAGAACACTGGAGTGGGTAGCCATTTCCTTCTCCAGGGGATCTTCCCGACCCAGGGATCAAGCCTGGGTCTCCTGCATTGCAGGCAGATTCTTTACCATCTGAGCCACCAGGGAAGCCCACAATGTGGGAGGGCCTCATCAAATCAGCTGAAAGGCCGTAAGCACAAAAACGGGTCTCACAAGGAAATCCTGCCTCAAGACCAGTCATCAACTCCTACCAGAGTCTCCAGCCTGCTGACATGACCTACAATTTTCAACTTTCCAACACCTACGATCCTCTGAACCAGTTCCTTAAAGTCAGCCTTCCCATATATCCATATTCTAGATCCTGTCTGTTCTGCTTCTCTGGGCAACACAGCAGCTTTGAAGAACTGGCAGGAATAACATTGGTGTGAGAATAATGCGGTTTTCACAACACTTCTCTAATCTCTCTTCAGCATCCCCTCAGCATGTCAAAGAGTTTCTACTTCTGTCATGATGTTGTTTTAAGTCTTTCCCTTTGTACTTTCTCTCCACCACTAAGTCTGAAATGTGAACTCCACAGCTTCTTCTCTACCCTGAGTTCTGATCCAGTGATGCTACAGTCACTTAGCCCAGTACCACAGTTCTGTGGTTTGGACTCCTTAGGACAGTATTTTCCAAACTTCAGTCAGGCCCAAACCACCCTCACAATTCTGTGCAACTTCCCACGAAAACCTAAACTTAAAATTTTCTTTATATGGACACCATTTTCTAAAAACTAAATTGGAAAAGAGAATTCATCTTAAGCAATAATATCTGTGCTTTATCAGTTATATTTTACTACATGTTAAATGCGTAAGTATTCAAAAAGATTCAGGGGAACTTCTCTGGAGGTCCAATAGTTAAGATTTTGTGCTCCCAATGCAGAGGGCATAGGTTTGATCCCTGGTTGGGGAATTAAAATCCCACATGTTCCACAGCCGCCAAAAAAACTTTTTAAAAAAGGGATTTTAGGGGTCATCATGTGGTGTGTCCAACACGCTATACAGCCTGGGAATCCAAGACAAAAACTGGGATGAGACTGCCTTGTCTCACTTCTGTTCAGCTGTATGCTCCTCCCACCATTCTGCAGCCCTTTTCTATCTCGTTTTAGTTCCTCTGTGAATGCCAGTGGCCTTGAATCTAGGCACCATTATTTACTACCTGGATAACAGTGATCACTAAGTCACTTAGCGTGTGACATTACTAAGCCATTTAGGATTGGTTTTCTCATCTACCAAGTAAGATGATAACCATGCCTGCCTTGCAGAAATTACTGCCAGGGTTAAATGAGATATCAGACGAAAACACAAACACTAGATGCTCGCAAACGTTCCCCCGGCAGAAGCCACTCGATCCTTTGGTTCGTGTCTCAAGTTACCGGCTTTGCTAGAACAAGGGCAGATATCCTCCCACTGCGTCCGATAAAGGCAGTGATATGAACAAGTGCAGGTCAAAAAAGTGTCTCCTCCAGGAGCTCGGTCACAATACACAACGACCTCATGAGGTGGGAGTTATCATCCTCTTTCTACAAATGAGGAAAGAGGCTCAGAGGTTAAGGGACTGGCCTCGGACTCGCAGCGGGAAACTGGCGGGCCCGTCTGAATCCCGCGCTCTCTCCGCCCCGCGCGCGGCAGCCGCCCGCCTTCCCCAACACCCGGCGCAAAACGGGCCCGACGCTCTCAGAGACGCTTCCCGAGGGTCTCACCTGGGCCTCTGGGGTGCTCCCGGGTGGCCCAGAACAGAACTCAGCCCGACTCCCGCCTCTGCCCCGAAGCCTCCTCAGCACCAGTCTCTGGTACCCTCTAGCTTCACCGCCTTCCAAAGCCCGCGCTCCTGTCACGTGACCTGCCGCGCCGCACAGCCTCCTGGGAAGTGTAGTACAGACCCCAGGCCCCTCGGCCAGCTTCTCTCACGGCAATCAGTCCCGCCAGGGCGGACGGACCTGCTCTGCGACCTGACCCTACCCTTCTCCACTGCTTGCCCCTACTCCACCCCGGGATCCCGAAGGCCCCAGATCCCGCCACACCCGAAACCACGGGACTACAAGTCCCACAGAGCCACCCGCGTGGCTGCATTTCCTCTTCCGGTTGAGCAGCGCGCCTGCTCCTGACGACGTGTTCTTCCGGTGGCAGAGTGGCGGATTACCCTGTGCCCGGCAAAATGGTGAGGGGGTTGAGGGGAGTTCCGACGGGGCTCTGGGGACCCCCGAGTTCCATCCTGTGCCTGTTTCTCTCACAGAGGCGTCAGGTGCCCGAAGTCTAGAGGGCGGGAGGACCCTGGATCCTTCGATTTGGACTGAGGGGCGGGGAAGGGGCTGACTCCTTAGGTAAGGTTTTGATCTCAGTGGGCTTCTGATCTCGCAATTTATAAGGATGAGGAGCGTGAGTGCATTTTTTAATACCTTCCAGCGTTTAGCTCTGTTACCTGTGGTCAAACTGTTATCTCTATCTGACAAGTTTCTCCCTGCTCTGCGGAACTCGTACTCATACGAGTTTTGCCCTGGGCAAAAGTCACCTTCTTGGTGAAGCACTTCCAGCTGTCACGGGCACTTGTCCGCTCTGCCCTGGGAGCCCCCACAACCTGTGTACAGCCCTCTTGCCACGTGTCATGGACTTCTTTGTTATCTGCCACGCCTCCAAGTGACCACCATCTGACGTGCCTCTATCCCTGGGATGATGTCTATTCATCTTTGTATTCCCAGTGCCAAACACAGGGCCTGCAATTGGAGGCTCAGTCAATGGCAGCGATTGTCTTCATCTTTTATGGGGGGGTATAAATGTTTACTGATTTGAATTCCAGTGTCTGTTAGAACAATGGGCTCAGTTTACTTGTCTAGAGTTGTTATGTTCTGGATTTAAACATTGGCTGGTGGGTGACAATGGAAATTAACATTTGTACGGAACTTTACTTTTACAGCCCTCTTTCACAAGCATTAGCTCATGATCTTCCCTATAACCTTGGGAAGGAAACAAACACCTATTGAGCAACAACTCTATGCCAGGCAGTGAGTTAGATGCTGTGACGTTTGTCTTAAATCATACATCAACCTTGTGAGAGAGATATTATAATCACTTACTGAGATTCATGGTATTTAGTAGAGTCAGAATTTTGACTTATGTCTTTTGCTTGCAGTTCCCGAGATTCCTGAATTGTGTAGTGGGAAGAATAGAGAATTAGAAGTTGAGGCAGACTCTGGACCAGTTCAGAGTCTGCCTTTTAGTCAGGATTCTGAGCTTGGTGTCTACAGACATGGGTCCATAAAGCTCCTAAAATCATAAGCAAACTTTTTCTTTTTTTTTTTAAAAAAAAAAGCACTTTATTTTGTCTTGGGGTGTAACCAATTAAAGAAAAATGTTATGATAGTTTCAGGTGAACAGTGAAGGGACTCATCCCTCCCACAAACTTTTTCTTGTGTGTGATTTGTCCCAGGCAAAGAGTCCAGACCTTTCATCATGTTTTTTTTTTTTTTCCCCCATGATGATCAGTGGCCTCAGAAAATGTTAAGGACCAGACTTCCCTGGCAGTTGAGTGGTTAAGACTCTACGCTTTCAATGCAGGGAATGCAGGTTCGATTCCCTGGTCAGGGAACTAAAATCCCACAAGCTGCATGGTGCAGCCAAAAAAAAAAAAAAATGTTAAGGACTATTGATCTGTAGCTAATCAGTCCCCTTGTGTGTCTCGGCCTCTGACTCTTAGCTGCCCTTCTCATCTCCTACTGAAAAGACAAAGCGCCACCTTAGTTTAAGATGCCATCATAATCGTTGTCATTCCCAAAAGGTATCATTTGACAGTGGTTCTTTCAAAGGAACCGGGAAGGATGTCCCTGTCTCCCAGGCTGAACTAAGCTTCTTGCAGTCATTCACAGCAGCACGAGGCTCTGATAATCCCATAGTCCTCCGAGGTTGAAGTCTTGGGATCCTTCAGTGGCTCTGATCTCACGCCTTCCCCTAGGAACTTGAGGCCATGAGCAGATACACCAGCCCTGTGAACCCGGCTGTCTTTCCCCACCTGACCGTGGTGCTGCTGGCCATTGGCATGTTCTTCACCGCCTGGTTCTTCGTGTATCCTTTGACTGAGCAGCCAGTGGGCCAGAGTTAGTGATGTGGGGACTGGAGGGAGGAACTACACTGGGTACAGGCACCCAGCCAGTTTTGTTCTGGCGTGGGGAAGCAGGACAGTCAGGAGGTTAAGGAGTAAGGGCCATTGCCATCCAAAGTCAGGTTGTGGCCTTATTTTCCAAGTTCAGGTGAGCTCAGTTGCTCTTCAGGCTTCATAGTAAGCAGAGGGCCTGGCTGGACTGGAGGCTGGGCATGGGAACTGAAGTTGAGAAGTGTTATAAGGAGTGATATACTCAGGTGTCAGGAGATCAGAGGGCTAGTCCCAGCTTTGCTGCTCATTAGCTATGTGACCTTGGGTGGTTGAAGGGTGTTGTGGAATCCGGAGTCACAAAGCACACCTCAGAGGACACTCAAGACAGTGGAGTACAGTTTATTACGCCAGCGGGTCCAAGGGGAATCAGTTCCCAACAAGGCCCCTGATGTTTCTGAGAGGCCCAGCTTTATACTCCCCACTACTTGACCGGTTACATATTAGCAATCCCTTTGTTGTGTATGATTGAGTTTCACAACAAGTAAGTGCTAGGAGAACAAACAATTAAGGTTGCGGGGGTGGGGGTGGGGGGCGGCAAACAATGATTATACATCGAGGGGGGATGTCTCCATGGTTAATCTAACAGGGGCTGCCCAACCTCAGTCTCCATTTGCCATCTGTAGGGAGGTAAGTCTCCAGACCTGATTTTCACTAGCAGTGGTTTCCTCACTCTTGGGCAGGGTTCACATCCTGTCTTTAGGATGGATGACAGGCTTCAAGATGGAGTCTCTCCTGCTTTCTTCACACTGGCCCCAACAGTAGGAGCACCAGGGTCTAGGTCATCTCTTGGACCCCTCTGCCCAGCTGCACGGAGCCAGACCAGCCTCCTGGAAAGCCCTCAGCGCAAACCTTTCTCCCAGAGATGCCCTGGCCAGATTCCCTGCCCTGCGTGGTCCACACCTTTGCTTCTCCTTAATTGCCCGGCCAGTTATGAGGTCACGTCCACCAAGTACACCCGGGACATCTACAAAGAGCTCCTCATCTCCCTGGTGGCCTCACTCTTCATGGGCTTTGGAGTCCTCTTCCTGCTGCTCTGGGTCGGCATCTACATATGAGCTCCGAAGGGTGAGAGCGGTGACAGGGCGGGATGCTAGAGAAACCTCCCCACACCCACATCAGGGTCCTCGGGCCCGCGTGCCCCCTTGGCTGATGGAGACAGACTGGGCAGAAAGGACAGGGACGCCGGACACATGGGCTTCTTTCCCTGTCCCCTGGTGGGAATCTGAGCCGAGCAGGACCTGTGTCAGATCTGAGGTCTCCACACTGTCTGACCTGGGTCTGGTGCTGGAATGTACTGCCTTGGGCTGTGGGCGCAGGCTTCACGTGGTTCCACCTCTGTGTTCTTACACATCATGCACAGTGGCTGGGAAGCCATGGGCAAGTGGCCAGGCGGTGGGCCAGGGTCCGGGACTTGCTGCCAGGAGTTCCATTTTAGTCAGTTTCAGCGTTCTCAGTCATTGAGATAAATTTTTACTCATGTTTGCTCACTTGGTGGAGGGGTTGTGTGAGGGAAGGTGATGGAAAGATGGGTCCCTGCTCTCATTCTGATCCCCTTCTCTTTCAGATTCCAACCAGGCAGCTTCACTGAATCCCTGCTTTTGTAAATTAATTTTTTAATTTTACTGTTGCTGGAAATGTCCCACCTGTCGCTCACAATAAAGGCAGATATGACAGCTTGTCTGGTGCTGGGGCTCATGGTTCCCCAGTCCCTCCCCTTCCTGTGTCTCTGCTGCCTCCCAGATGGTTCCTGTGGCTGGGAAGCCCTGCGCTCTGCTTAGGAAGGGAGTGTGGGGAGTGTCTTATCCTTAGAAAGGCACTGGAGCCTGCCCTCTTCTGCGCTTCTAGAGTAAACTTCCTTAGGAACCCGCACCAGTCAAGTCCGTCCCGGGCCAGTCCCCTCCGCTAAGTATAGCCAGGGACCCTCAAAAGGCTCAGCTTGTCCCTAAGCTTGTCCCTCCTTCTAACCCAGGCCGGGCAGCTGTAGGTCCGTGGGGTGTGGCTAGGGGAAGGGGCTACCGTGTCCTGTTCCCAGGCCTGAAGCTACGAGGGATAATGGCGTACAGAGCATCTATCAGGCTCAGGGGCTCCACGTGGTCCCAGCCCCACAGATGACCCCATCCTCCCCCCACCCCCACCCTGCCCCAGAACAATCTCAAGAAGACAGGAAGCAAGCTCAGATACAAAGCAGTATTTATACATTTATTTATATACGTATATTTACTTCAGAAAAGAACAGGGGACAGGAAGCAAGCAGGCCTGGGGCCGCTTCCCTCTGCCCGTTCGAGTCAGAGTTGGTACGATAAATACGAGTCAGCTCGGGGCAGGGTGGCGGGGGGCAGTTATGTGGGAGGGAGGGGGTGCGCTATGCACATGCAGGCTTCCTTGGGGGCTGTAACGTGGGCGGGGGTGCTTGTGCATTGAGAGGCCCTATATACAGCTTGAAGCTTGGGGAGATTCGCCCAGTGGCTACGGGAGTAAATGCCAAATGGGAGAGGAAGGGAGGGGTGGGTTGCTGGACCACGGGTAGGGGATAGAGCCAAGACACCCACTCAGCAGCACCCACTGGGCAGCTGTCAGCTTCCAGCAGGTGGCCCACTGGCCTTTCCTGAAGCCCTTTTACCTCCCTGGGCTTAAGGCAACTTTGGTCCAAGGTTGACCCCCTCCCTGCCCCCCTGCCTTGAGCAGCTTGGAGCCCCCACTTGGCCCCAGCCTCCACACAGAGGACCCCCTCCCAGGCATGGAAACAGCCAGCTGCTAACCAGATTGGGGCGATGCTGTGTCCAAGTGGCTCCAGGGGGGCAGTGGAGGGTCACTTTCCAGTTTAAGCACTTTAATTCCAGTTCAGGGGCTGTGGTCCAAGAAGCCTGCAGCCCCACTGAGGAAGCCCCAGAATCCTATCACAAGGGGCAAGGCTCGGCAGGTTTATGGCATTTAGGGAGGGTTCCAGCAATGGGGGAAAGAAGAGTAGTGCTACGTAAGGTTCAGCCACCTGTGTGGTGTGGTGACCTGAAAGTCGCTCAGTCGTGTCCGACTGTGACCCCATGGACTATACAGTCCAAGGAATTCTCCAGGCCAGAATCCTAGAGTAGGTGGCCGTTCCCTTCTCCAGGGGATCTTCCAAACCCAGGGATTGAACCCAGGTCTCCAACATTGCAGGCGGATTCTTTACCAGCTGAAGACCAGGGAAGGCCAAGAATACTGGAGTGGGTAGCCTATTCTCCAGTGGGCCTTCCTGATCCAGGAATCGAACGGGGGGTCTCCTGCATTACAGGTGGATTCTTTACCAGGTGAGCTACCAGGGAAGCAGTGGTGTGGGGAACTGTCTTAATTCCTATGTCAGAAGAAGGGCGTGGAATCCCACTGTGGAGGGGCTGGGAGGTGAGGTATCCTGGCTACCCCCCATCCCACCAGTGTGGACAAGTGCTTGATGTCCGTAGCAGAACGGGGCCCATGGTTCCTAGGCTTCTCAGGATTCAGGTCTCCCCTGAAAGGCTCCCACTCAAAGCTGAGAACAAGAGGCAGGAGGGGCAAGGCCTGGCTCCCAAAGAGGTGGCAGAACATCACCAGGCGAGGACGGCAGTTCTGTCCCCATTTCTGAACCCTTGGCAGACACTGCAGTGATTTCCACTCCTTCCATGAGCCTGGCTGTGGCCTCAGAAGGGTCTAGATACCCACTAAGAAAGGTTAATGTTGGCACTTGAGATAAGACTTCAGTAACCCAAACCCACTGCTCTGCTCCAGAGGATGGTCAGAACTGGGGCCTACTGCCGAAAACAGAGCCCCCAGCCTGGCTGGCCGAGCCCAGCATGGGGCCCTTGATCTGGGAAGGTGAGGCCATCAGCAGACAGGAGAGGGGGAAGAGGCCCATCCTGTTGGTCGGAGTGGGGTGGGTGTCTAGGCACCCAAGGACGGATCAGAGCCAGGGCCCTGCCTTTCAAGTGTCCCCCAGAGCTCTGGCCCATTCGGGACTCTCCATCTCCATTCTTCTACTCCTGCCCTGGTTTAAGTGCATTTTAGTAATTACTTCATTAATAACAGCAAAAGCTATTTGCATCCACTCATCCACCAGCCAAGACCAGCCTGCTGCCGTGCAGGGATTCCGGCTCCTCTGCTCAGAGACCAGTGGAAGCTCCCCGGAGCCCAGGCTGTGTGGCTGTACAGGGAACTTCACTTTGGGATACTCCAGGTTCTAGGGTCCAAGGCTTACCTGGCCCGCTGGCCCCGCCCCTGGTTCGGCCAGGCACTGAGTGTATCGAAGGCACATGGTCAGTCGCCAGCCCATCCAGGGCCGGCTTCAGCTGCCCTGGGAGCTCTTGGAGCCAAGCTCTTCCAGGGAGAAGAGACCTCCTGGGCCACGCTTAAAGCTTAGAAGTCCGAGTACAGTAACAGTCAAACCCTAAAACGTCCGCTCCCTAACTCTCCCCAGGGAGCAGCTTTGAGACTGAGGGCTGTCCGCGCCCTCCACCGACTCCTGACTCGGCCAGGTCTCTGAGCCAAGCCCCCGCCAATACCAAAGGCAGACAGGTGCTCTCCCCAAAGAGGGACAGCTCCCAGTGGCAGAAGGGGAGGCATGGAGGGTGGGCTCTGGACAGAGTCACAGCTTCCCCCGCCTCTGGGCACCTGACATCGCCAGGCCTGCATCGGCCGTGTCTGGATAGATGTGAATTGGGCCCGGCAGGTCTCTCTCTGGCTCCATCCGTGGTGTGGGGGTGCCGCCAGTGGGAACAGCAGCTCCAGTGTGAGGACTTCCAGTTTCACCAGGCGCGGGGAGGGCCAAACCGGCTCAGTCTCCAAAGAAGTGCCGGCGGCGGGCTCCAGTGTAACACCATTGCATCCAGTGTGGAAGGGGCGCCCGGGAACCCCCGGGCCCTGGTGTGGCGCTGCCTCCAGAGGGCAGCTCAGTCACACAGGCGGTAGAAGTGGAAGTAGTAGTCCGTGGCTGGCCGGACGGGGGCCTCCGCGCTGCAGTTGGCCTGACCCTGGGTGGAAGGGCAGGGGGAACCAGTGAAGTGCCTCCAGGGCCAGGCAGGAGGCGGTCCCCCTGCTGACGGTCATCGCTTGACTCTGCCCCAAGTCCCACCATGTGCTCTCCAACGCCCCCCACCCACTTCTCCCCCAAGCCCCACACTGAATGTCTCGGGGAGGCGGGGTGCCCTGCTCACCAGCAATGCCACCCGGAAGTGGTAGGTGAATCTGCGGAAGGACAGGATGGTTACTGGCCACTGGTGGGAGGTGCCCTGGGGAGGGAGAAGAAGAGGGGTCAGGGCAGCGGCACAGACTCCCATCCCCACAACCTGCATTCCCTGGCCATGGCCATCACAGCCCCGGGCTCTGTAGCAGGTTTTACAAAGGAAAGTGCAAGTCGCTCAGTCGTGTCCGACTCTTTGTGACCCCACAGACTATACAGTCCACGGAATTCTCCAGGCCAGAATACTGGAGTGGGTAGCCTTTCCCTTCTCCAGGGGAGCTTATCAACCCAGGGATCAAACCCAGGTCTCCCACATGCAGGTGGATACTTTACCAGCTGAGCCACAAGAGGGGAGAAGCAGAAATCAGGAGAGGCTGGAGGGCACAGGTTCTGCTTTGGGGAGCAGCAGGGGCCACCATCTGTCTGCATGCTCTGTGCCCGGCCCTGAGGGTCCACGGCCTCCTGTCTCACTGCCTTCCCTCACACTGTGCTCCGGGCCCATGGACGTGTTTCACTAAGCCCGTGCTCGCTACACGCCGCTGAGAGGTGCTGCTTACAGATGAGGGCACTGCTGAGTTACCTGCCTAAACTCCCACGGTGGCATGTGGCCAAGCTGGGGCTCACCCCTCTCTGCTCTCCCCTGTCTGCCAGGCCCCGGGGCCTGAGCCTCTTTAGGGCTCTCAGCACTCCATCCTCTACGCAAGCTACTTCTGCACCTCTTTTCTCATTGGTGAGGGACTGCATTCTTGGAAGCTGTGGGCTGTTTCTACCCCATCTCTGGCTCCCCTCAGCTGGGCCCAGCCCAGGGCCAGGGACAGGGGAGGCCCTAAGAAATACTGATTGAATAAACACACGAATTGGCGAGAA